GGTGCGTGCCGGGAGCCGGCGCCGCCCGCACCGCCCAGCGCCGCGGGGCTGGCGGCCAGGAGCGGCACGGCCCCTTCGCCAGTGCCCTGAGGGGTGACTCTGTTTCCTTGCAGGGTGTCTTTTATGAATAATCAAAAGCCGCAGAAGCCGACACTATCGGGCCAGCGTTTTAAAACCAGAAAGAGAGGTGAGTTCTTGCGCCGTGCCCGCTGCCAGGACCGGCTGCCGGCGCCGTGCGGTCGGTAAAACATCGGTTTGTGTCCGCAAACAAACCAGTGCCTTTATGCTCTTCTCAGAACTCCTTTAAGTGAGAGCGTGCCAAGTGCAGAGTCTGGAGGCTGACTCTGGGGGCTGTAGCGTTCTCTGCACTAATCAGACATATTTGGCAGTAAGAGTTGTTGCCGAATTTACTGTGATAAGCTCGGCTTAGGAGACGGTCATTCTGGAACCGTGTGAAGTGTGTTTAGCCTGAAAGCAGAAGTATCTGATAACCCGGAATTACAGGAGAGCTCCATCACAGGCTTTTTGCAGGTTGATACATGCATCGAAGGAGCATCTAATGTAATAAGGGTTTCAGTCCTAGCCACTGGATAAAAGTTACATTGTCCCCTTAATGTTATAAGAATACCTAATATAAAAAAACTGACAGAAAAAACCCACAACAAAATCACACAAACAGACCCACTCCCCAGCGAACATCCAAAAAAAGCCCAAGGTGTGGGATGTGCAAATGCCTGTCTCTGTAGGAGCACAGTTACTTCCATATGAAGAGTTAATGACTGAAGAGGGGCGATGAATAACTTAGTATTTTGGTGGGGTTTTTTTTAAACCCATAGAGGAAGTGGATGCAGCTCTTAGAGTTCCTGTTCAATACTGCTTTACTAGGATACCAGCAGTGTTCCAGCTCAGGCAGCTTTAAGGATTCTGCACGTGCAGAAGGATGCTTTGATTTACAGAACCTGTTTTAATGTCAAAGCCCCTTGAGAAACTCTTGAGTGAGAGAGTTCAATCTAGTCTGTCCAGCAGAGGAAATGCTAGTGGCCTGGCTTTTAGTCTCTTCTAAAACATTTAACCACAGTTTGTTTTCAAGCAACTGCTGGAACAACGAGCTTTGTGGATTTGTCCTGGAAGATAACTGATCCAGTATTTCCAGACTTCCACCCAGCTGTTACCAGTGTGTGGGTACTTACATGGACACCAGTATGCCAGCTAGGTTGCTAACCCACCAGAAGTGGCTAAGCTGTTGTAGACAGCACTCAAAATAGGATATGCAGCTGAGTTCTGTATCTTTGAAAGCTTCTCAGCGCATGGTTTGCATAATCTAAGGACAAATAGAGATGAGCAAAATTAAAGACTACTTCTGTTTAAGGTTTTGTGTTAGTTACATGGATGGATTTGTTGCATATTGACTACTACCTGTAGTGAAAACAAGGCAATGATCAGCGGATGTATCTCAGATATGGAGAAATATGTGTTCTGCTTTAACAATAACAAAAGATGCTAAATAGATATGCAATTATAGCCCATTAAGTTAGCTCATATGTCTACATTTCCCCCAGGCAGTTGAGGAAAAGCAATTACTTCAGACTCATTTAATTCCATATTAAAAGGAGGGGATGGTCTTCATAGCTGAAAAGTGAACACTGTCATATGACTCTAACTTCAGCTTGTCAGTCAGAGTATTTCTTCCAAAACAGTGAGAGGCCCAAAGAGCTGAAATGAAACATAGTAATGGAGTCAAATGTACAAAACTGTAGGGGCATGTATTAAGAATTGCCTTCCAGCATGAGCTAAGTCACCTGTTTTGGAGGAAAGAGTGATTTTATATGTCAGTGGGGTATAAGAATCAAACTGAGAAGTCAGGTAAGCTTTATTAGAGTCAAGTAATGATCATTGTGAACAACTGTTCTGAAAATACGGTAAGAATTCAATTAGAAGTAACTAAGCAATGTTCTAGCTTTTGGTAGCCTTTCTCCCAGCCTTGACTGAACAGGGGAGTGAAAGCAGCAAGACTCCTCACTGCTGTATTGGCCACTGAAATTCATTTCAGGCTATGCTATTAAGTCACTGTTTGTACTACTTAATAAGTTTGTCAGTGCAAATTTGGTTTAGTTTGTTTTTTTTTAATAAGACTGAAATAACAAAATAAAAACCAAAAAACAGCGTACAGAAATTTTATTTCAACACTTTCTCTTTACAGATGAAAAAGAGAGGTTTGACCCTACTCAGTTCCAGGACTGTATTATTCAAGGTTTAAGTGAAACTGGCACTGACTTGGAGGCAGTAGCAAAGTTTCTTGATGCTTCTGGTGCAAAACTTGACTATCGCCGCTATGCAGAAACACTTTTTGACATCCTGGTGGCTGGTGGAATGCTGGGTAAGTCCTTTTGATGTGGCTGCTGTCAGTTTTATTCACGTGACTCTGCAAAAGCTCAGTTTTCTTTCAGTGTAAAAACTCTGCTAAAGAGCCCGTTCAGCGTGTGGAACAGGGTTTAAGTTATCTGTGGTAAACTATATGACTTGGTGACTAAGCAATTACTGTAGAAATGCTCTGTGTACCTTCCTGCAGTTTTACTTGAGTCTGTTTGCGTTCTTCAAAGTGTAGATTGTACAAATTTGGCTTAAAAAAAGATATATTGGATTGTTTGGCATTTTTTGTTGGTTGGTTGTGTGTTTGGTTGTTTTTTGTTGGTTTGTTTTTTGGTTTTTTTTTTTACCAGGTGTAGGTCTTGACTCTTTAGTCAAGTTCACTTCTGATGGTGTGAGGTGGATGAATGCTTGTTTCACGTGTGTGGTCTGTGGTCACAAGACCAGTGGAGTTGCCCTGAATGATTCTGACATTATCCTGTGCTCTGTGCATCCTGCCCTCTTATTTTGGAAAGGAAACTTGTTTACAGAAGAATCTGAAGTGCTCTTGGAAATGCTATTACAAATCATTTGTTGTTGACTGTGGGTTATGGGCTCTAGCAGACATCAGGGAGTGAGAAATGAGAGGGTGGTTGAGTCAGCAGAAAACACAGGGAACTGAGGAAGTGAAATGTGATGACGAAAAGTCTTATAAACTCATGTACACGTGTGTGAAGAGCAAAGAGGAACAGCTGCTCACCTAACAGGTTGTAATTGTTATAATATGTGGGTTTACATTTAAGAGTCTTAACCAGTGCATATTGTGTTAGGAAGTGTTTCTCCTAGGAATAAGGCTGAGAGGGAAGGGAAGAAGGCATTGCTGCGTTACTGGTAATATGGGGTCCTTTACTCAAGTCCCTCTCTGTAACACATAGCTGAGTAGAATGACTTTGATCTTCAGTCAGATAAGGCCAGAATAAAAACTGACATCCTGTTGCCTTACCACCTTTTAATATTACTGTTAACACTCATCTCTGTTTTTAAAGCTGTATATCTGGCTAATAACATAAGGATCTCCATTGTATGTAGGATGGCATAGAAATCCATGATGAGGTGT